GCGGCGTTTTGTGTGAGAACAACAATATACCTTAGTCTTGTAAGCGGGGCTGCCATAGAATCTCTTTAAAATAGAAGTCGGACACGATCATTTATTTTTATTTTTTCTTAGGGTATCTTCGGTTCTAGTTTCGTGGACTACGTAGTTTTTGTCATGTGTCTTATGTAGCCATTTATGGTAACTACTTCCTCTACAAACTTCCATTCATCATATCATATGTTGTTCGACGTCGTTTTCGGTTTCATTTCATTTCCTGTTCAACAGACCTGTCGAAGCGAATGTATTGTCCTGCTCAGGTCTGCTTCCCGTATACTTTGCAATGAGTACTCCTATCTTCTTACGTATATCGACATCAATGAAATTCCGCTGTCCATTGCGTTTAGGCATCAGTGTAAGGTAGTTATCAGGATAACCAGAGTTTGAGAGTTCTAAGACAGTTGTGCAGTTGACCTCATTACATAAATATCGTTTACACAGCTCCAGTAGACTGAACTGTTCATTGAGTAGATTTAGTAATCGGGCCTCGAATCTGCTAATCGAAAACTATGCGAGAAAGGAACCAGGCCGTGATCTCATTGTGATATTATTTTTGTGTAGCTGTGAAACTGAATTGGACACTGTGGGTAGATAGCAGAAGTACTTTAAGGTTTGAAATAGGAAGGTTGATGTTTCTGTCACGGCACCCATTCGAGTCACAAATATAATGGGGCGTCTATGTAGGCGGTACATTCGGAAACAGCGAATCGACCACAAGGGAGAACATTTCTCGGCTATCTACTTCCAGTTACTTGACTCGCTCGATGGAATTTATCTTGTCCTTCAAACTGTACCAGTAATTCTCGTCTGATAACCCCTAGCAATCTGGTGGACTGTCTGGCCACAAACTGGTAAGTGGGTTTGAACGTCATACCAGTAACCACGATTACATTGGGGTTTTAGGTGTGCTGCAAGAAATCGTTCATAGTGATCTGAATATCGTTTTTAGGCGTGTCGGTGCTGAAGTCCGTTGAGGCTCATTTCAGGTATGTTTTCACGAACCTCTACCGAACGAATTGCTCAGTGACGACGTTTATCGGACTCAGACACCACTGTCTGATAGCTTGTAATAATAGCAACCGGAATCGAATGGAGATTCGTCAGATACCCCCGTTCCTACTCCAATTCGGGAAACGTCTGGACTTGTGGCGAATCGAGTTTGGACGAGTGTCATATGTCAATCGAAAGCGAGTCAAAACGTGCGAGCGAGAGCAGGTGGTTGTCTTCCTTCCCTATACATAGACTAAAAATAGGCGGACAAATTGGGTTCAGGGAGTGGAGATTGATATGGTTGAGGCTTTGGTCGTGAATGTTTTGGCTAACGGCGGGCAAAGCAAATAATGCTCTTTATCCTCGGTTTTAGGCCTGCGAAGCAATCATTGTCTGCGGGGTAGAACCACAAAAGGGAAAATAAAAGGAGTTGACGGCAGTCTGTTTCCATTTACTGCGCCTTACTTTATACCATATTTTAAACGATTTGGTCGATCGCACCAACTGGTGGCGTGCACATTATGAAAGCGCCTGTTTGTGAAGATCACGGACTGGGATATTTCTAGGACGGGAAACCGTGGATAAGGGGCACACGTAGGCCCCGCAGACAAATACCGACTCAAAAGGCCAATCAAAGGGCAGTGGTATGCTGCACAAAACTACCATATTAGTCCGAATTATGAGGAATAAATCCTTACCCCTTGAACACGGAAAACCAGACTGTTGATCAGTTATCCAGCCCTTCAAAGAAACCTCCGCCTTCCAGACGAAACGCCATCGGGGAGGCGATTCTGTAAAATTTTGTCCGCTATAACCCCTTCTCAATGGAACAATCCGTAGGAATGGGGAACGGGCACTTTCGACTTTACAAATGGCTGGTTTACTCCTTGGGAAGGAACGGCACAATAGCCGACTCCCTGCACCGGCATCTCAATATTTTACGTTGTAGCTGATACGTTATCTTGTCAGAATGGTGACTTGATTTGACTTCTATGCTAATTTAACCCATTGATGATAATACAGCCGAAGGATGGAATGAGCTTCCAGTAATCACTCTTATTTGTCCTATGAGAATAAGCCTGTGTAATAACAGCTTATTCAAATGACGAGTTTTCCTTGAGGCGGTCGATCACTATGCCAGTTTGCCGTTTTGCGCTAGTGTTTGAGTTGCGGATATCCTGAATTGAGTGTCTGAGATCTTCGTTTCAAACGAATACATATATACTGAAATTTGCTAAAACTGGTCAGCACACACCCTTTGATGTGATGCAGAAATCACGGAAACCTGTTACCATCGCACATCTAGTATGTGGGAGGTGAAGTTTTGTTCGGTTTTTTCCATACAGAATGCATGTGTGCACAGGTTGTTTTCTGGTTAATCCCGAAGAAGATCGCTGCTACGCTTCGTGGAGCTTCACGTGCCAAACGAGGGCTTGACTCACTCCGCGTCATCCCTTGAGGTAGTCCTAATCGGCGAAAACAGCAATATCAATGACAGTGCTGTCAGTTTGTGATGGTGATCACCTCCTCCCCAGTATCCTAGCTGTTTTTGAATGCCTGCGTACGTTGAGCTGTTTTTTTTTGAAAGCAGCATTTTCCTTTACCGATGTGACTCATTAGATATTGGGGCTAACCGATAATGGGTTGTGCCGTTATTCCTCCTCATGATCACAGACATAGGTGCTTTCCCGACTCGTGTATATTTGTGACAGGATGGCTGTTTACGTCCACTTCAGAGCACAAATCAAAGTCCATTACTGAACTGGTAACCCCGCACGTAGTCACGATCACGGTTTTTTACTCAGATGAATCAGAACAACTCTCCAGTTTATAGTATACTGAATAGGAGTTCTACACACAAAGTACTGTTATTCATATCTCTCGAAAATCTAAATACGCGAGGTGGTAGTTTGTTTCCTGTTTGTCAGAATTCCACCAGTATGCTTTGTAATGACTGGCATCAATAGCTCTCGGACACTGGCTTCGGTTTCTCTGTAAGGCGTGCCGATATGTTAAACTCTGGAAACGTAATTATAACATTTTGGCCATCAGGGAAGTCACAAACAATTAATTAGTGGCTAAATCGAGAAGAACCGGTAACCCGGCGGAAAGTTCCTCTTTTAGTGGTGTTCACCTTTTGACGCTGTACTATTTGAAGATCCATTATCACTGGTTTCTCATAATGTGCAACACATCCGGAAACAAATCTTATCGATTGGAGGCTTGCTGGAATCAGGAATTTCCCAAAGGACTCACTTTTAACTATCTATCTCCATTCAATGTTTGCTCTGAGGAACTCTGGCAGTTGGGCATTCTTGCTGACAATCTGTACAAAGACTTCTTGTTCATTGTTTTCTGTCTGCTCGTAAGCAAGTGGATCAGGTCTCCAATTCCCCATTTTTGATATCAGTTTGCTGCTGCGCTTCATATGGGAGGCAGTCGTTCCGGTTAGTAAGCTGTGAGGATGTGAATTTTTTGTTTGACGTAATGGAAGAGAACCGTCTGGTGGACCATCTGGAGCAAATGTTCATCCCTGCAAAAGCTTCTTTATGGGTGGTGACAAACGGATTGTAGACGATTCGGCTAGTGTTTTTCAAACACTATGTTCATTACTTTGATGCAACTCAACGGACATGTGTACGAGGTTATAGTGCGCTCTGCTTTGTTGTTTAGCTGTGAGGATTGGCCTGTTGAGAGCGGAACTGAGACGTCTTTAGGTGTTCGACTATCGTTGCCTCAGGATCATGGCTAATGTTGTTTGGTAACGAGGCAACTAGAAAGCGAGTTTCCGCTCGTGTGACCGAAATTTAAATTAGAAACTGAGACGCTTTAGGTGTTCGACTATCGTTGCCTCAGGATCATGGCTAATGTTGTTTGGTAACGAGGCAACTAGAAAGCGAGTTTCCGCTCGTGTGACCGAAATTTAAATTAGAGCGTCTGTCCAGCACTAGATGCTTCGTTGGTTAGGTCATGTTTGCGTATGCCGAACCATCGTTTGCCGGAGTGGTTTGCCCGATTGAGAGTGGTGAAATCAGGTGACCAACCCTTGATCTAGCAGAAGGGTACGAAAGAGCTTACGAAACATTCGGGTGCTGTCGGTGCTACTTGCCTACCAGGATTGGCACTGCATGATCCTTATTGCGGCCGGTTGCAGACGCTGAAAGATATGACTGCTAATAGATGTGAATGGCTTCCATTTTGTCAGTTTCTGTCCGAATTGCCTGAATGAGTGTCTGGAGGCGTAGGCACCTCGGAATGATTGTGTTAAGCTAGCACTGAGCCCCCCGTCCACCTTTACTCTTTTCTTTACAATAAGGCTTTCAAATAAGTCATGGTTGTACGGCAGTGAAGCATCGCTGTTGAACACCAGGGTTATGTTGTTCATGATGATGAATTTGATGGAGACGACATCATCGAGATCCTCGGCAGCTGTCCCCGAAAGAACTGCTGCACGGTGGGGTTTGTTATGTGATCGCGTTGTCGTTAGTTGAGATCGTCTACCCGTTTATATACACAAATTTGGCCTAATTTAAGTAGCTGCAGGGCAGTGGTGAGGTGCCTGCCTTCCAACTGTTGTTATGTCTATCCTGTGGCGTGATGGATCAAGCTTGTTGGTATTCCGAATCCATCATATTGTACTTTTTCACGACTTAGTCATTATCTTATTTTGCTTAGTAGCGTTATTGAACTCAATCGGTTTGCGTAGCTTATGTGTCGGAAATTTTCCAACCTAGACAAGACGTGTATTCTTCATTTACTTCAACGTTCTGATGAATTCAAGTATATCATGGTGAGGTCGATTGCCGATCGACATACTGATCGCGTGTGCTTTTGCACCAAGCTAATACACAATCGCGTACCATTTTTGCACCGTCCTTCACAATGACTCAGTCTTTTTCAGTCTCGCCTGTCGATCTTTATCACAGTTGATTTGCATCATCCCAGTGATATACTCTGTAATTTTATCATTTCAGACGGATAACGTGGATGCCGAAATGTCTTCAGTTGGCTTGGTTGATTATTCAGATGAAGAAAGTGACGAGGAGGATACTACAGGAAGAACAGTCGAGAATGGAGTTGATGAAAAAGCCATGGCTGTAACTACCTCTGGGACGCTCGGGGACAAAGTTGCCTCAGACGACATTAGCTGTGAAGTTTCTTCTAGTCTATCGTCGACTGAAGTTTCTTGACTTCATGTGCTTACGTTCTATCCCCTCGTCGAATGAAATTTTCAACCATGAATATCGTTCATGTGCCTTTCTTACCTTGTGTTCTTCACTCTGTCCGTGGCTTCAGCTAACATCCGTTTATGAACCCAATTGTATGCCTAGCCCACCCGTCACAGACGATTACGGAGTGTTCTTACTCATGTTCCTGCCGCCCATTGTACATAGTACCTTAGAGTAACTTGTTGCACCAACGATGCTGGGGACTATTCGGGTTACTCCTCTTCCCTAGCAACCTTTTTCACAGATGTCCTTGCTTGTTTGTAATTCTTTTGTAAAGACTAATCCCCCGCGTGTTTTTGAGCCATACAGTCCGTCACATTTCAGTTGGCAAGAGCATCGCACAGATGTTTATCTCCCAATCTAAACAAATGCGTGTCGTTAATCCCACCTGTATTCTATACTTGTTCACAAAGATCGGCTGTGTCTAATTGCTACCAGACAGCGATGTCATTCAGTTTGTGCGCCCGTTTGCATATACAGTGTAGTGTGAGACCAGTACATCGCTGCATAATAAAGTAACTTACGAATTCGGTTTAGATACCCTTGCATCTTCCTCTAATGGTTGGTGGGATGTGGGGACCGTAAATCTGTCTTACAGGTTCGAATAACTGAAGCCTGTGTGTCCGTTTAGGTTCGACAGGGAAGTGGAGTCAGTTAATACAGGACAAAGTCTTACAATTTGAAGACCTCGTAGGTGATCACGTGCATACTAAAGTGTGGACCCCGCATGGTCTAGGATCGGCGACCAACGTGTGGCTGCTTAGCGGTTGTCCGGCCATGAAGCGCTCAATTCATGTGCAGTCGGTTTGTGTAGGCCCAAAATTGCGGATACTAATTGCTCCTATGGTAGGAAGACGCTGTTCTGTGCTCCTCGGTTTAAAGGTAGTTACAATTTCCGACACCAGAGGTGGGATAAGTAGTACTATTGACGTTATGTTGTTTCTTGTTCAGTGCACTCTGCTTTTTTATCAATACCGGTGGGAAGATTCAGTTTGTCTTGAAGCTCCCTTGAGAATGGGATGGCTACAGCAACGCCTGTTGCGTGGAATGTCTTCGTAGTAGTACTTGTTTCGCCTTTGAAAAGAACATGGAGCTGAAGTGGCTTGGACTTTCCTCTTGTATGCGTTTTTTACAAGGTACTGGTCTGCCCATTACGCACCGTTAGTAGAGTTCAGGTCGAAACTATTGGCTCCTGCACAGCTGATAGGCACAGGTGGACGAGGTGTCCAAGCCTGGGCTTGGTTTGAACCACGGATGTTCCGACCAGTGGTTTCTTGCTTTACTGCTGAGCAGTTCGGGACGCCTGTCGGTCTGGGATCAAGCCGAGATCCTATTGGCCGAAAATCTGGACTCAACAACCAAATCATGGCTCAGTATGGGCCGAATACCGGATGCCAATGACGCACCCAGGCGTCAGAATTTCCAGAAAAATGTTGCCACTTACACCATGTATATATATATATATATGTATAT